CATCAAGAAAACAACAGTTCTCACCACTGGGCCAATTAGCAGCATTATGATAGATGGTGAAGAGATTGAGATTGATAATAGCTTTAGTTTGCTTGGCTTTACAATCAACACTCTTGGTACCAGCAGCCAGGAAATAAAAAGGTGAATTGCATTGGGAAAGTCTGCTGTCATGAACCTCTCCAAAGTACTGAAGAGCAATGACGTTAGTCTGGAGATTAAGGTGCACCTGATCCAGGTCATAGTCTTCATAATTACTTGCTATCCATCAGAAAGCTGGACAATGACTAGGGATGATAGAGACTTGATGCCTTTGAGCTGTGGGGCTGAAGAAGAGTGCTGAATCTACGGTGGACTGCCAGGAAAACAAATAGGTTCATCCTGGAGAGGGTGAAACCAGGCTGCTCCCTAGAGGCAAGGATTCTGAGGCTTTATCTGACATATTTTGGGCATGATGCAAAGAGGGACCAGTCCTTGGAGAGGGACATCATACTTAGAAGGGTGGAGAGATAGCGCAAGGGAGAAAGACCCTTGATGAGATGGACTGATTCCGTGACGGGGGTAATGAGGGTAGGCGTGTCAGAGACAATAAGGCTGGCACAGGATAGAGCAGGTTTCAGGGCTATTGTACATAGGGTCGCTATGAGTCGTAAGAGACTTGACAGCACCAAACAACAACAACAACAATGCTTTAGATTAGCAAGCAGTACCATCTTTACTATGGGAAGCAGAGTCATCAATTCTTGGATTTGAGAATCAATTTTAAAAACTCAACCTTAAAATTTTGTTTCTTTCGAGTCACTCTTGGTACAAAAATCTTAGGCAGGGTTCTCTGAAGGAGGAAAACTAATGAAGAATGTGTGTGTATTTAAGAAAAAACCAAACCAAAACAACTGTTATAGACTTGGTTCTGACTTATCTGGGAGCAGACTGCCTATATTTCCCCCATAAGAGCAGCTTGGCAGATTTGAACTGCCAACATATTAGTTAGCATCCCAATACCTTATGTACTGTGCCACCAATTCATATCTAACCCTCCCTGGGTTTCTAAAGCTGTAAATTGCACAGAATGCCCATCTTTCTACCACAGAGTAACTGGTAGCTTTGAACTACCAGATAGGCTCATCTTTTTGATAAAAAAACTCCCTGTGGACTATGCCACTATATATATATATATATCTCAAGAGCTTTATTTCAAGGAAATAGCTCATGCAGTTATGAAGGCTGGCAAGTTAAAAATGCATGGGTCAGGCATCAGGCCTAGTTAATGTGATGAACGACATTAGCATTCATGATTAAGTACCCAAAAGTTTAGTTGAAAGAAAGAATAAACAAATTAATACAAAGTGTTTCCTAAATATTTGTTAAATTGGATGAAAAGATATAAGATAACAGATGGCTGTGAAATTTCCAGAAATTTTTTTTTAAAAAGATCAGCTTAGGGGAATGCTGAAGTTGAGTGAAAGTTCCTCATTATAAAACTTGTGTATTTGTGGTAGAAGGGGCAACTGGGGAAAGGAATGAGCACCATCTGAGAACCATTTCAGGCTGCATCATTTCTCCATGACAGGACTCCATCTGTGACTAGGACTTACCCACCTCATTTGGAGGCTTGTCTACTACACAGGTGTTACAAGTTATTTTGGTCTTTGCCTGTCTTCTCAGCATATGAAAGACACAGACATCTGGGGTGGTTTATGTGACATTTTTCAGCTCTAACTAGGAAACCAGCAGAAGCGAAAACAACAAAAGAAACATCACACTGGATTAGATTCTGGAACTAGGGGAGGAAGAATCCATTTTCGACCCATGTTACTGCAGCTCATCTGCTATTCAGGCTCCCTGTTTCCACTTTTTATTTGGAAGTATTTCTCCCTGGCTTACTCTTTCATAGTCACCTACTTTCTGCAGGAGGATGGTCCTCTGATCTCCGAAATCTGAGACAACACAGTATTTTTTTAAATTTTTTTTTAACGCTTTGCTGATACTACAGCAGTCTCCTGCCTTCCCATTATTTGCTGTTCAGATCTTTGGTGCCTTGACAGTAAACAAAACACTTTAGATCTTAGCCAGGTAATGTAAGTGCAGGCTTTCCACTGGCAGCCAGAATTCTTAAGATGGCTTGACTGTGACTAGTTTATCTCTCAAGATGAACAAAGCAACAATATAGTTCTCCTACAGAGTAATTGAAGATTCAGTGTAGGTAAGGGGTAAAAGTATTAATTTTCTACTTTATATATTAATTTCATTAATAAAAGACATTTTCTGTGGTCAGCTAGTACTTTAGAACTTTCCTGTATTCCATTCACAAATGTTGTAGTTTGTGTATTATTCACATAGAGAGCAGTTATTTAAAAATCTGACCAAGAATGACCTAATTTCAGGGTGACAATATAAATTAAAGTAGTGAGCTCTTCCCTACCTTTCCTGACCAACTTCTTAAACCAGTGAAATTAAGCAGGGCATTAAATGTTAAAAATGAAAGTCAGGAGAACTCTTTTCTATCAACCAGGTAGGATGCTCTGACTTTGAAACCACTGCACACAGCTTGTCTCACTGCTCTCTAGATACTTCCCGTGTCTTTTTGAAATCTGCATTTTAGTTGAACCAGTTGATGGTAATATGAAAGGCCAGTAAAGGCAACATTTAAATACCAGTGACCACAGACCACATCAAGGAAACATCTGCAGACAGTCCAGGGCTTGGGAAGCAGCCATTTTGAATCACAAGTGGGAAGCAAGGACTGACTTACACAAGTGAATCCAGACAAAAATATCAAACAGTTGAGACGACCATCAGGAATGAAAGGAAGAGAAAATTAACCAGCTTGTGTGCCAGAAGAGCTGTATCTAATATGATTCTTTTACCAACTAGCCATGAAACTTTACTGGACAGAAACTTCTCTAAGCCTCAATGTTCTCAGTGATATAAAGAGAAGGCTGAACCACAGGGCGACCAAGGTCCCTTCCAGCTATAACATTCCAGAGTGTACCCTGGGCATAAGTCAGATGTGACTGTGAAAGCAAGTTAAAAGTTAATCTAAAAACAAAAAAGTTAAACAATCTATAGTATATGTGCATAAGAAAACATTGCTACTCTGTAAAATTAGACTGGAGGTTAATCCAGTAAAATGTATTAACTTTGGCCCTGAGACACTCACGTATATTGGAAGTGGGAGAGAGAAGGCTGTTGAAGACCCACCAACCTATGTTCAGATGCGATAGTCCTACCCACCCTACTTTCACTGCTACCCTCAAGACCAAACTGACTGGTAGGTTTCAAGTTGCAAAGCGAAGACGAGAAATAACCTAATCACGTCAGGCATAAAGACTTAGTTGTGGTGGTTTCATAAATCACTTCATAACCTAGACTTTGATCCTTAGGGAAGCCTTTTCACTTTTCAGCAACTTGCAGTCCCCTAAAGCAGTCCCTTGTACCTGAAAGTTGTTCTGGGTGGGTTGAAGCAGTGAGCTGGATGGGAGAGAAAGGCGGAGGAAGGAAGGAGCTGTTGAGTTTAGGTGCTGCACTCAGGTAGAGGAAACTACAACTCGGGAAAATAAAAAACTATCAAGAAGGAGGCGAATTTCCACATGCAGTTGATGTCAGTGGCGTTGACAGTAGCTGGGCTCAAGGTGTAACCTGGCTTTTCAAAACTAAATGTATCTAAAAGAGCTACAAAGTTTAAAGAAATCTAGGAGAGATGCCGAACTTTGGATTTCAAGTTGTTTTTTTTTTAATTGCAGAAGAGCTTGCATTCATTATAAAGGTTATGCCTGCTCTATGCTACAGCTTTCGCCTTGGCTTCTTTCCTACACCGTCGGTCTTCACCAGGATAGCTGAGACTTATCGGTTTAAGTTATGCTATCCGAGGTTCACCCCTCTGTGGCACTCAGGCATTGGGGGGAGGGGGGCAAGGGAGAAGCGGATCTCGTCCACCAGCAAAGGTTTTCGGCCTCCTTACAGAGCGCGAGACTGGAGCCACCGACCGAGCCCTGCAGAAGCTTCAGCGCCCACCATCCGTCTCCGCCCCCCACCCTCACCCCGCCGCTTGGCGAGTGCAGGGAAAACAAGTTCGCCACCAAGGCTCAAAACACTGAGATGCACTCATTACAGATCATCTGGTCCAGCCTAGATTCTCGGTTTCCTAGGCCAGGATCGGGGCAAACAAATGGGCGCGCCAGCCAGCGCCGCGCCGGGACTGCGACCCAAGGCCCCGCCTGCCCCGCCGTAGAGGCCCCTCCCCGGCTTCCAGGCCGTTTGGCTAGTTTGTTTGTCTTATTTTTAATTTCTCCGAGGCCAGCCAGAGCAGGTTTGTTGGCAGGAGTACACCTCCAGCAATCACGCGACCAGCCAATCTCCTCCTTGCGCTCCGGGAGCGGGCGCGCAGGGGAGGCGCAGAGGCGTCGGGGCCGCGCACGGGCCACCTTAAGGCCGTGCTCGGCAGCCTCGGCTGGGCGGCTCCCGGCGCCGCGACCAATGGATCTCCTCCTCTGTTTAAATAGACTTGCGGTGTCAATCATCTTCTTCTTCGTCAGCCTCCCTTCCACCGCCATATTGGGCAACTGAGAAAAGGGGGCTCGCCTTTTCGGGGTGTTTTTCTCCCCTCCCCTCTCCCCACTTTCCGTGCGCTCCGCGGCGGTGACGGCAGCAAGGTTTGGAGAGCGGCTGGGTTGGCGGGGGCCGCGACTCGCAGTGGCGCGGACCTGGACTGGCCTTTTGCCCCCTCCTCCCGCCTGTCCCTCCCCTCCCCGCCCTCGTCGCCGGTACACTTGATCTGCGGAGACTTGGGGCTGCCTCTCGGGGGCTTCCCCTCGCTCCCGCCCCCGGGCCCAGCGCGCTCCTGGAGCTCGGGCAGTTACTTGTTGGTGTTTGTTTCTCTTGGCTCCGAGGGCAATCGCCGAGTATAAAAGGGGGTTGGGTTGGGTTGGGTCGGGGCGTTTTGTTTTGTTCGGTTTTGTTTTTTGAGAGAGCGAGCAAGGCGCTAGTAAAGAGTCGGGAGGAAGATGTCAAACGTGCGAGTGTCTAACGGGAGCCCGAGCCTGGAGCGGATGGACGCCAGGCAGGCCGAGTACCCCAAGCCCTCCGCCTGCAGAAACTTATTCGGCCCGGTGAATCACGAAGAGTTAACCAGGGACTTGGAGAAGCACTGCCGAGACATGGAAGAAGCCAGCCAGCGCAAGTGGAATTTTGATTTTCAGAATCACAAGCCCCTGGAGGGGAAGTACGAGTGGGAAGAGATGGAAATGGGAAGCTTCCCCGAGTTTTACTACAGACCCCCGCGCCAACCCAAAGGCGCCTGCAAGGTGCCGCCGCAGGAGAGCCAGGATGTCACCGGGGGCCGCCAGGCTCAGCCTTTAATTGGGTCTCAGGCGCAGTCAGAGGACACACACTTAGACCAAAAGACTGATGCATCAGACAACCAGACGGGGCTAGCGGAGCAGTGCGCCGGGATGAGGAAGCGACCTGCCACAGACGGTAATGACCTTTTCAGGCACATACACGCCCGTCTGGGCCGCGGCTTTGCTTTCTCCGCATATTCTTGCTTTTAGATTTCGAGAGCGAATTTAACTTTCTTAATCTTAGATTTGAACTGCTACCTGCTGGCTACTTGTCTCTTAATGATCTTTAAACTGCAAGCTGGGGATGATACTATCTGTTCTTTTCTGTAACTTTATAACAGAGCAGCTCCTCCTGGCTAGCCAGCCTCAGTTACGTGACAGCGTTGAGATGTTTATCAAGGGCCTCCCTGTACGCTGTGAAGAGGGAGGTCTGGGCGTAGAATACACTTTCTGTTGTGTGAAAACAATCCGATTTTGTGCACTTAAAGGGCACTGGATGATGAATCCAGGATTGTGGGTGGAGGTGGTGGGTTTGCATCCCCCTGGCTCTGGGGCCAACTGCTCTATTATTTTTTTCTAATAAAGATTGTGTTTGTATGTCTTTTAATGTTCCCTTGTTATTTAGATTCCTCTACTCAAAACAAAAGAGCCAACAGAACAGAAGAAAATGTTTCAGAAGGTTCCCCGAATGCTGGTTCAGTGGAGCAGACGCCCAAGAAGCCGGGCCTCAGAAGACGTCAGACGTAAACCTCTTGGTGGGTTGATTAACAAGAGCAAACAGCTGACACCCGCACGGGCTCCAGAAACCCAAGGGCCTGAAAACCCCAAGATACCTGATCTTACTGGTTGCTGGCAGATTAGGAACTTGTGGGTGTTTGTTTTTATTTTGTGAGGGCAAAAAGTAGGCATGGATGAGTAAGGCAGGGAAACACCTTAAAGATACAATTATTCTTCAAAATTTCTAATCCTGAGATAATTTTTCCTTAATACACTGCACCTAGAGCATGCATCTTGGGCGAGTACTTATAGCCAAGGCTCCCGTCAGTAGGAAGGCCATTTCCTTGGGAGTCCCACCAAAACATGCTGGGAACAATAGGTTTCTTTCCCCCTCTGACCAAGGACTGGGGTAAGCCTCAGCCCCACTTCATGAGGATTTGTTTCCCCTGAGGTTCAGATTGAGTCAGTAGCAGACTTGGAGACCACACAAAGAAAAATGACCAGTAACAATTAAATTTCACATATGAGGACAAAGTTAGTTAGAAAACAGCTCACGTTTAATCAAACAAGTGGTTAGAACCTTGAATATGGTGGTGTGGTGTGTGTTCTGTTACCTATGCTATTTTCATACTCCCTCACTTTCCTATTTCTGATAAGTTTGGGGAAAGAAGGAACCTGCATAATTTTAAAAATCCGAAGTGAAAACTCAAAAATGAGTTCCTCTAGAATTTCTGGTAACAATCAGAGGCATAAAGCTAACTCTGCCAATAGTGAGCCATTCAGGAACACAGAGTGTATATGCTAATCAGGCCATAACGGGATGATTTAGGTATTTTTAGGGGAATTGACTGGTACAGATCAAGGCTGGAAGGAGGTGTGTTTGCTAGGCATAAAAGCAGTGGAGACTTTTTCCAACTAAAATCTGATCAACTTAAGTCAAATAATTTAGCTCTTGAATTAACATGGATTGGCTGTCTAATAAACTACATGTATTCTAACAGTTTACGAATTTCTTGTAAACATGGACTGTGGCCTCTCTTTGTTTGCAAAATGCAGTCATAGCCTAGCATATAAAAAGATCACAATAGATGTGAATAGTAGCTTTGCTTATAAGAATTGAAAAATAAAGAACATAGTGATTAAAATTGGGGTTTGTTGTGTTTTTAAAACATTATAATGTCATACCTGACTTCACCACACATACACACACATTAGAACGTACACGAAATAGCAGTATAAAACCTCTGTATTACAGTTCTATGTGAAGTTGGAAAATTGGAGGAAAAAAGGCCCTGAAGTATCCTTAACGCTTAGAACTCTGGTCTGTGACTACTGGTTTCACTCATCAGAAGAGCCACAGTGAATAAGAACAACTGAATTTTGTTACTGGCCACACGGTGCCATGTAGAGAGGATTTAAAAGTAGACAAAAGTATAAAGAAATTTAGACATAGTAAGGATCTTTGCAGAGACATTTATGTTTCTATTCTTTGAGTAAAAAATGAGACTGTTTTGCCCTCATTGCTCTCAATGGAAAAAAAAAATTTATTCAAAGGGCCTCTATAAATTACATTTTCATTTTCAGAATATTTTGTTCCTAAACGTTGTAGTTTCTTAATTTTTCTACTTTCTCATTATCTTTGACCCAGATTCTCTAGACTAGTTTCTCAACCTCTGTACTATTGACATTTTGGGCTAGAAAATTCTTTGTTGTAGGGGCTGTCCTGTGCATTGTAGAATGTTTGGCAACATACTTGGCCTCTACCCACTGAGTGCCAGTAGTATCCCTCTACTACCCTGAGTTGTGACAACCAAAATGGTCTCCACACATTGTCAAATGTTCCCTGGGGGCAAAATAGCCCACTGTTAAGAGCCACTGCTTTAGACAGAAATGCACAACATGGAGGAGGGTAAAAATCCTGTTAAGGGAATGTTGGGTGTAAATTACTATAATCCTCTATTTCTCCTGCATATACCACTCACCCTGTATTTGTCAGGAATTTCTTATTAAAATTGTGACAAAATAATTCCTGTACTTTCATGTTGTCAGTAGTCCTAATTTCTTTCCTTGTTTCTTTTGCAGAGCTAAGGATACGTTTCCTTGTTTATCAGATACATCACTGCTTGATGAAGCAAGGAAGATGTAAATGAAAAATTTTTAATACATATCGCTGACTCCATGGAATGGACATCCTTGTATAAGCACTGAAAAGCAACAACACAATAACACTAAAATTCTAGGCACTCTTAAATGATCTGCCTCTAAAAGCATTGGATGTAGCATTGTGCAATTAGGTTTTTCCTTATTTGCTTCATTGTACTACCTGTGTATATAGTTTTTACCTTTTATGTAGCACATAAACTGGGGAAGGGAGGGTAGGGTGGGGGGGGGTAAATAATTGGCATGGTTATGAAGAGCTTGCTTCAATTTATAGCAAGGAAACAAAGCTTGCATAAAAAGAAGCAATTGTAGGGAGGGTTTGGAATTCTTTTCTTTAAAGATGTAATGTCCCTTTCAGTGAGAACTGCTACTTCATTCTTAAAATCATCAAAATTTGAACACTGGCTACAAATAATTATTATTTATTTTTACTCAAAGTTTAGTCTCATTTGGAAGCATTAGTGATTCCACTTTTAAGTAGTAAATAGCTTTTTAAAAAGAGCAAAAAACCGCCTTTCAAAGCTCTCACCACAAAAAAAAGTTGGAATTAACCAGTGATTATTTGGCAAGCAGGCAGATAACTTTAGATAATTCTGGACAAAAATCTGGGATGTAGGGCAAATGTTCTGAATGATCAGAATTAACCATTGCTATGTTTTAAAAAAACTTTCCCTAATTTCCTTTTACACTTTATGCTAGGTGTACAGTCAATCCTAAATCCCGAGGTGGTATTACAAATTTATAAGTAACTTCACACAAAAGTAATGAATTTTTTTTTTTAACTTTTAGCTTCTCATTCTGTTTGTTGATTTGCCCAAAGGAAAATGAAGCTTTGACAGTAAAGTGTGTGTAGAGGAAGCATACTGGAGTTAGAATAAGTGAAATGGATACTACATCTTTAAACAGTATTTCTTCATTGCCTGTGTATGTATATGAAACAAAACCATTTGAAGTGTACCTGTGTACATAACTCTGTAAAGACACTGAAAAATTATACTAACTTATTTATGTTAAAGAGATTTTTTTTTTTAATCTAGACAATGTACAAGCCAAAGTGGCATGTTTTGTGCATTTGTAAATGCTGTACTGGGTAGAATAGGGTTGGGGGTTTTTTTTGTGTGTGGGGTTTTTTTTTTTATTTTTCTTTCTCTCGCTCTCCTGTTTAATAATATGGCTATGCTTAAAGATTGCATACTGAGCCAAGTATAATTTTTTGTAATGTGTGAAAAAGATGCCAATTATTGTTATACATCAAGCAATCAATAAAGAAAACTTCCATAGCTACTGATTTGAGTTGAACTGTGATGTGCTTGAATTGTTTGACTTTGTATTCTAGTCATATTTGCATAATTATAATGTCAGCTGGCAAATACCTTAATGATTTAGACCCACAGTTCTTTTTGTGTGTGTGTGTGTGTGTGTGAGTTTTGCACTTAGGTCTGTATGGTAGGCGAAGCTTTAGAGGAATAAAGGGTAGAAATCCACTTTTTAAAATAAATAAGATACTAGGTTCTCCACAGCATCAGTTCAAATATTTATGCTTCCTAGAATAGGTATGTGTCTGAACCAAAAATTCTTACATAAGTGTAATCTAATTATTTGCAAGACTGAAAATGAAAGTAACATGGTGACTTCTCTAGAATCTGTATTTACACATACTAAACGTTATGAGGACTTTAAGTTAAGACCCTTTATAAGTTTTGCCAGAAAATACTAAGAAAAATGTAGATCTTGAAGAAACTGATGTGATTTCAAACTAAGAACAGGTATTCCTCAAATAAAACATAGTTTACAGATTGTTTAATTTCCTCTTATATTGGTTATAACCTACAAATTTTAAAAAACTAGCTAAATACCGGATTTTTAATCTATTCACGTAAAAGAGATATTTTACTTTATGCAACAGATTTTAAAACAAGGTATTTAAAAGTTTCGCTTAAAATTCCTGTAATTCTACGTTGTCTTCAAAAAGTTAACAAAGGTGTAAAATTATTCTGGGAAACTGCAAATGATGAATCGTAAAATTCTGACTTTGTGTTAAATTTCCCTCAAATACTTGCATTTATTTTACTGCACTAAAAAATAGATTCTCAACATAAGTTTTTGCCTATTTTACCTTAATATACATATATATACACACACACTTTTTAAAATTCAGTTTGCCTTTCTTTGGCTGCTAGGAAGGAAAAGGAAAAATTAGGTACTTTGGTGGCTGGGTCACTTCAAGTAGGTATTATTTTAATTAAAGGTGTGTTTTTGTGATTCTTAAATACACAGGGTATTTGTCAGGAAGAGACTGAGAAAACATGAAAAATATTTAAAAGACGAAAGAATGGAGGGAGGGTCAGGGGGGAAAATGTGATGAAATTAAAATTTTTTGCAACAAAAGAGGGTACCTAAAAAAGTCTCTAAAAAAGTAGAGGAAATACTCTCTTAATTGCTGCGTGCACCCCACTTTCCTACAGAAACCTGTTTAAATGTGAATTCTCGAAGCTTGCGTTTCAGTGTTTGGCGGGGAGATGTGGATGCTCGCCGCATCAGGCACAGTTACAGCCTGGCAGCCCCCAAGTCACGGTGTCCTCCGTCCCTTACACGTCTGGGGCGCGCCTCCAAAGACGTCTTCGCGGTCCAGAGCGTCCTCCCCACCCCCCCACCCCTGGCCCGAGCTGCGGGACTCCGAGGAGTTAGGGCCACTAGCGCCAGTGAGCCCTAGTCCCGCAGCGCGGGTCACCATGCCCGTCATCTCCCCAGCCTTTCTGGTAGCCTCGCGCTCAGCCGCCGCAGTGGCTGCGGAGTCGACCTGGCAGACGTCCGGGGGCCGAAAAGGCCATCAAGTCCCGTGCCCCATCTGTGTGTGGCAGCTCCCGCAC